TGCGATCATGGCGTAATAGCCCATAAAATACGTGCTAAAGGAATAACTGGGAAAGTGGGGAGATGGATCTTCAACTTCCTAACAAATCGAACACAAAGAGTAGTGGTCAACAGTTAAATCGGAGGCTGCCATAGTTTACCTGGAGTTTACCTGGAGAGAGTTCCGGGGGTCAACGCCCCCGCGGCCCGGTCTGTGACCAGGCCTCCTGGTGGATCAGAGCCTGATCAACCAGGCTGTTGCTGCTGGCTGCACGCAAACCAACGTACGAGCCACAGCCCGGCTGGTCAGGAACCGACTTTAGGTGCTTGTCCAGTGCCAGCTTGAAGACTGCCAGGTGTCTGTTGGTAATCCCCCTTATGTATGCTGGTATGGTAAACACGAGGAAATTAAATCTTCATCAGAGTATAAAACAAATTCTGGCCACAAAATAGAGCGAAACACCAACGTCAAAGACCTGGGAGTGATCATGTCGGAGGATCTCACCTTCAAGGACCATAACTTTGTATCAATCGCATCTGCTAGAAAAATGACAGGATGGATAATGAGAACCTTCAAAACTAGGGAGGCCAAGCCCATGATGACACTCTTCAGGTCACTTGTTCTATCTAGGCTGGAATATTGCTGCACACTAACAGCACCTTTCAAGGCAGGTGAAATTGCTGACCTAGAAAATGTACAGAGAACCTTCACGGCGCGCATAACGGAGATAAAACACCTCAATTACTGGGAGCGCTTGAGGTTCCTAAAACTGTATTCCCTGGAACGCAGGCGGGAGAGATACATGATTATATACACCTGGAAAATCCTAGAGGGACTAGTACCGAACTTGCACACGAAAATCACTCACTACGAAAGCAAAAGACTTGGCAGACGATGCAACATCCCCCCAATGAAAAGCAGGGGTGTCACTAGCACGTTAAGAGACCATACAATAAGTGTCACGGGCCCGAGACTGTTCAACTGCCTCCCACCAGCCGTAAGGGGAATTGACAATAGACCCCTAGTTGTCTGGACAGATACCTAAAGTCAATACCGGATCAGCCGGGCTGTGGTTCGTACGTTGGACTACGTGCGGCCAGCAGTAACAGCGTCGTTGATCAGGCCCTGATCCACCGGGAGGCCTGTTCATGGACTGGGCCGAGGGGGCGTTGATCCCCGGAATACTCTCTAGGTAGACTCCAGGTAAACCTACCTAGGAAGACCTTGTGACTGGTATGGTGAACTAAGGCGGTTGATACGCGGGGAGGTTAACCTCACACTCCACTGACATAAGTTACAGTGACACATGACAAACTAACCCAAACTAAACACTAACCTCTTACCAAAGAACGGAGACATGGATAACACTGCACCAGCCGGCGTCGTAAGAGAGAGGAAATGTGTGGTGCTATAGATCGTGTTTGACGAACATGCGTATTGACGTACGTTAGAATGGCAACGAACGATTTAATGTGTGTGTGTACTCACCTAGTTGAGGTTGCAGGGGTCGAGTCCTAGCTCCTGACCCCACCTCTTCACTGGTCGCTACTAGGTCACTCCCTGAACCTTGAGCTTTATCATACCTCTGCTTAAAGCTATGTATGGATCCTGCCTCCACTACATCGCTTCCCAAACTATTCCACTTCCTGACTACTCTGTGACTGAAGAAATACTTCCTAACATCCCTGTGATTCATCTGTATCTTCAACTTCCAACTGTGTCCCCTTGTTGCTGTGTCCCATCTCTGGAACATCCTGTCTTTGTCCACCTTGTCAATTCCTCTCAGTATTTTGTATGTCGTTATCATGTCCCCCTATCTCTCCTGTCCTCCAGTGCCGTCAGGACATACCTCTTAGCTCTGGGACTAGTCTTGTTGCAAACCTTTGCACTTTCTCTAGTTTCTTGACGTGCTTGGCTAGGTGTGGGTTCCAAACTGGTGCCGCATACTCCAATATGGGCCTAACGTACACGGTGTACAGGGTCCTGAACGATTCCTTATTGAGATATCGGAATGCTGTTCTGAGGTTTGCCAGGGGCCCATATGCTGCAGCAGTTATTTGGTTGATGTGCGTTTCAGATGTGCCTGGTGTTATACTCACCCCAAGACCTTTTTTCTTGAGTGAGGTTTGTAGTAGTAGTAGTAGTGTGTTAGTTACCATTTTGTCCTAGGCACATGTCGATTAGACACTAGGCCTGTTATATTTGCGAGTGTGTGTGTGTGTGTGTGTGTGTGTGTGTGTGTGTGTGTGTGTGTGTGTGTGTACTCACCTATATGTGGTTGCCCAACACACACAGCTCCTGGCGCCTGTGTTTTGTGTTAGGCTGTTTGGGGAAAGGTTATATGGTTGAGGGGAGAGGGGAATAACTTCGGGTGTCGGTGGAGGTGGTAGGTGTCAGTGGGGATGGTGATTGTCAGTGGGGATGGTGGGTGTCAGTGGGGATGGTGGGTGTCAGTGGGGATGGTGGGTGTCAGTGGGGATGGTGGGTGTCAGTGGGGATGGTGGGTGTCAGTGGGGATGGTGATTGTCAGTGGGGATGGTTGGTGTCAGTGGGGATGGTGGGTGTCAGTGGGGATGGTGGGTGTCAGTGGGGATGGTGGGTGTCAGTGGGGATGGTGGGTGTCAGTGGGGATGGTGGTGTCAGTGGGGATGGTGGGTGTCAGTGGGGATGGTGGGTGTCAGTGGGGATGGTGATTGTCAGTGGGGATGGTGGGTGTCAGTGGGGATGGTGGGTGTCAGTGGGGATGGTGGGTGTCAGTGGGGATGGTGGGTGTCAGTGGGGATGGTGGGTGTCAGTGGGGATGGTGGGTGTCAGTGGGGATGGTGGGTGTCAGTGGGGATGGTGGGTGTCAGTGGGGATGGTGGGTGTCAGTGGGGATGGTGGGTGTAATTTAGAAGGTTTATTTACATTGATGTCTAGCTCACTCAAGTGTGTGATTAAAGAGTACTGACACCTCCACACCGCTGCTGCTGTTGTACTGCTGTTGCTCTGGTACTGCTGTTACTGCACTTGTTGTTGTCGGTGCTGTTACTACTGTTGTTGCTGCTGTTGTACTACTGCTACTGTTACTGCTGTTGCTGTTACTACTGCTTCTGCTGTTACTGTTGTTACTACTGCTGTTGCTCTTGTACTGTTGTTGCTGTTACTGCTGTTGCTGTTACTGCTGTTGCTGTTACTGTTGTTGCTGTTACTGCTGTTGCTGTTACTGCTGTTGCTGTTACTGTTGTTGCTGTTACTGCTGTTGCTGTTACTGCTGTTGCTGTTACTGCTGTTGCTGTTACTGCTGCTACGTCTGTTACTGTTCCTGAAGCTAGTAACGGACTCGTGATACAAGGAACTGATGCTCTATGATCAAGCCTAATTCCTACACCACAGGTGCTGCATGACGGCTTCCCCCGCGGGTTTAGTGCTCCTTCCATCATTGTACAGTAACTGACCAGTGAATAAAAGCGTAGTGGTGTGCCTTACTTTCACTGCCATGAAGGAAGTTTCACTGCCATGAAGGAAGTTTCACTGCCATGAAGGAACTTTCACTGCCATGAAGGAAGTTTCACTGCCATGAAGGAACTTTCACTGCCATGAAGGAAGTTTCACTGCCATGAAGGAAGTTTCACTGCCATGAAGGAAGTTTCACTGCCATGAAGGAACTTTCACTGCCATGAAGGAACTTTCACTGCCATGAAGGAACTTTCACTGCCATGAAGGAACTTTCACTGCCATGAAGGAACTTTCACTGCCATGAAGGAACTTTCACTGCCATGGAGGAAGTTTCACTGTCATGAAGGAACTTTCACTGCCATGAAGGAACTTTCACTGCCATGAAGGAACTTTCACTGCCATGAAGGAACTTTCACTGCCATGAAGGAACTTTCACTGCCATGAAGGAACTTTCACTGCCATGAAGGAACTTTCACTGCCATGAAGGAAGTTTCACTGCCATGAAGGAACTTTCACTGCCATGAAGGAACTTTCACTGCCATGAAGGAACTTTCACTGCCATGAAGGAACTTTCACTGCCATGAAGGAACTTTCACTGCCATGAAGGAACTTTCACTGCCATGAAGGAACTTTCACTGCCATGAAGGAAGTTTCACTGTCATGAAGGAACTTTCACTGCCATGAAGGAACTTTCACTGCCATGAAGGAACTTTCACTGCCATGAAGGAACTTTCACTGCCATGAAGGAACTTTCACTGCCATGAAGGAACTTTCACTGCCATGAAGGAAGTTTCACTGTCATGAAGGAACTTTCACTGCCATGAAGGAACTTTCACTGCCATGAAGGAACTTTCACTGCCATGAAGGAACTTTCACTGCCATGAAGGAACTTTCACTGTCATGAAGGAACTTTCACTGCCATGAAGGAACTTTCACTGCCATGAAGGAACTTTCACTGCCATGAAGGAACTTTCACTGCCATGAAGGAACTTTCACTGCCATGAAGGAAGTTTCACTGTCATGAAGGAACTTTCACTGCCATGAAGGAACTTTCACTGCCATGAAGGAACTTTCACTGCCATAAAGGAACTTTTACTTAAGATGTTCATAGAAAACTTAAGAATGTTGATCCTTCTTTTGCCTTTTCTTCCATCACTCATGCCTTCTATTTATGCCTCTTTCTTCTATTACTATTTATTAAAGATCCAATTTCCCAAAACTCTGCAGGAGGCCTACTGGCCTGTGCTAGGCAGGTCCAAATCACACTCACATCCACTCGTGTAGTTATCCAGCCTATTTTTCAAGGCACACAAGGTTCTTGCCTTAGTGACGCTACTCGGCAGTTTGTTCCACTCATCCACAACTCTACTGCCTAAGCAGTTCTTTCCTATATCCATTTTAAATGTAAATTTGTCCAATTTTTAATCCATTGTTGCAAGTCTTGCCTTGGTTAGATACTTCAGCACCGTATAATGAAAATTTTACTACTATTGCTACTAATACTACTACTATTCTACTACGACTACGACCGCTGCTGCTGCTACGATTACTACTACTACCACTACCATTATTTTTCTCCTCAGCATAGTGAGGCGCTCGTGGAAGGGATTCCGGTCGGGACGGCGGCTTCGGTAGTGTCGGGTACGGCGCCGGAGTCGGGTTCGGTAGCGGCGGGTTCACAATGTCCACCCCCGGTGACACCGTTCCACCGTGACCTGTGTGGCGCCACAGCCTGTCTCCACCACCACCAGTGTCCACACGGTCGCTTGTGCTGCTTCAATGGCTGCATCCACACCTGTCTGGTTAAGCTGGAAAGTCCCCCAGGTGAGTAAGGGAGGGTAAAGCCAGTGTAAGGGAGGGTAAAGCCAGTGTAAGGGAGGGTAAAGCCAGTGTAAGGGAGGGTAAAGCCAGTGTAAAGGAGGGTAAAGCCAGTGTAAGGGAGGGTAAAACCAATGTGAGGGAAGGTAAAGCCAGTGAGGGAGAGAGTCTCCGTCACTGACCACAACTTTCGTGGCCTCTTGTCTCCACCGGAAATTCTTCGATAATTTGGGAAAGAAAAATGGGGTCGGCGCGTTCCACCGGTTACCTGATTGGCTGTTAAGCCACAGCCAATCAGCAGACTGGCTGTGGCGTCACAGTCTGGCTGGCTCTGACGTCACCGCCAGTCAGTTGACTGGGTTAAGTCAAGAATAAAAAGACACAACACCATGACTGGAACAATACACACAACCCGCACACAGTAGAATGTAACTTAGGGCGACTTTTGCTCCGACTTGGACCATTAACTAGTGTGTACTCACCTTTCTACTCACCTATATGTGGTTGCAGGGGTCGAGTCACAGCTCCTGGCTGTGTGTGTGTTGCAGGCTCCTGACAATCCTTGTTAAGGTAGCACACTGTGTTGTACACTTTACTAAGGCCGTGTCTTCTTTATTTCAGTTATTGACTGGCTGGAAGATACCAGCGATGTCTTGCCTATCCTTGGTAAGTACCTGGATAATACCAGTCACTTGTGTGTGTGTGTGTACTCGCTTATATGTGGTTGCTTGGGTCGATTCACCGCTCTTGTGTGTGTGTGTGCGTACGTGCGTGCTTACCTTTTTGTACTCTGAAACTTGTAGGGGTTGCGTCTCAGCTCTTGGCCCCGCCTTTCAGATAGCCGCTATTGGGTTTACTTTCCTAGCTTTTTGAGCCCTAACATACCTATTCTTAAAGCTGCCTCTTCAACTTTTCTATCTAGGTCGTTCCACTTCCCGACCACCGTGAGGCTGAAGAAATATTCCCTAACATTCCCCCGTGGTTCATACATGTTCTGCCCGGCAAGTGTTTCAAATTTATGTTGCAGTAAAAATGTTTTGAGAGTATGTATGTCATTACAGATGAGTCGGCACCCCCAGTGCTACCAGTGCGGTACGAGGACCTCTCCTTCGTTGAAGGACGGGAGGAGGCAGTGCACCTGCCTGGCGGGTGTACGATATCAGGTACTCAGTACTCACAGCTTCAGAACTTTATGAAGGCTCCCAGCATCGAGAACTGGTAAAAAAAAAAAAAACTTTGTCCAAAATATTGAAATCATTAAAATTACAAGAGCTTCTCTGAAATATATAATGTTAGAGTAGAGAGGATTGAGAACTGTAATAATAATAATAATAATAATAATAATAATAATAATAATAATAATCTTTATTTTTACAAGTACATGATACAAGGTATACAGACCATAGCTGACATCACTGACATACTATTATTATTTAGGTACAGGTATACATAAGTGAAATTATTATACATAGTATAAATTACCCAGGATAAATTACCCAGGATAACCCCCCTCCCCCTCCCCCAAAAAAAAGGCATAGCGACTTATTTCCATTGATGAAATTAAAACCGAAAGCCTCTGTTATTTAAGCTTTTAAGTCTCAATACAAATCATCTTCCTTATAAAAAGCTTCTCTATATGGACCCCTCAAGGAAGGTTCCTTGATGTTGGTGAGGGGCTCTTGATTTAGGGAATTGGATCTGTGCTCCAGTTCCCCGAATTAAGCCTGAATGCCTTCCACATCCCCCCCCCAGGCGCTGTATAATCCTCCGGGTTTAGCGCTTCCCCCTTGATTATAATAATAATAATTCTCTATATGGAACAGTTTTTGGTAAACAAGATTGAAAAAAGTAACATCGTCTGACCTATTCGGGCTGTCCTAGGTAATTTACACACATGTTTCTATGTAATTACCTAAATTTGTGTAACTGTACCTATGTACACCAGTACCTAAATACATAAATTGTAATCCAAAATTGATCAGCGCGTGGACAGGACTTCCTCCATAGTACGCACTGTTCAGTTTCAGTTCACTTTTTCAGTCACATTTAGGAGATATTGCGTTATACAGAGTGGCTTTGTGAGTCAGGGTATTGTATTTCTTGTTCTTTTTAGAGCTGGTGTCTGTAAGAGCTTTATTTATGGTGTGAAAGCTGACTAGATTACTGTATCAAGAAACGAGAGGAGCTGGCTGGCCAGACGCCAGTCTAACATTATTACCGAGTACCTTGAACTCTTCTGTCTGACTTACGTCTGACTTTTTTGGGTTGTCTGTCTTTTTTCTGGGTTAATTATCTGACTTTTTTGGGTTGTTTGACTTTCTTGGGTTAACTGACTTTTTTGGGTTATCCTGGGTACTCTACATATATTCTGCTATGTAACTGTATTTATGTGTACCTGTACCTGAGTAAACTTATGTGTGTACTGTATTCCACAGCATGTGTGAGCGAGGTGAGGTAGTGTGCGCCGTCAAGATGTTTCACTCATAGTGTGAGCGAAACGAGGTAGTGTGCGCCGTCAAGATGTTTCACACAGTCCTGATCAGCGCCTCGGCTGAGAGGATCCAAGATGACATGTTGGGGGAAACTAAAGAAAATTGGATGCTAGGAGGATCAAAGAAGACGGGAGAACCAGGGAAGACAAGTTGGGAAAACCAAAGAAAATGGAATGTTGGGATGGTCGTAGAAGATGGGATGCTGCTAATAGAAGCAAAGGAAATGGGATGCTGAAATGGAAGATGGGATGATGAACTGACCAAAAAAATGGGATGCAGGGAGGACTGAAGAAGATGAATTGTTTGGAACTAGGTTTGTTTATAATAAAGATTAATGTAGCACATGGCAATGTTACAGCCACACAGCAGTGCTTCAAGACAGTGGTACAGCCACACAACAGTGCTTCAAGACAGTGGTACAGCCACACAGCAGTGCTTCAAGACAGTGGTACAGCCACACAGCAGTGCTTCAAGACAGTGGTACAGCCACACAACAGTGCTTCAAGACAGTGGTACAGCCACACAGCAGTGCTTCAAGACAGTGGTACAGCCACACAGCAGTGCTTCAAGACAGTGGTACAGCCACACAGCAGTGCTTCAAGACAATGGTACAGCCACACAGCAGTGCTTCAAGACAGTGGTACAGCCACACAGCAGTGCTTCAAGACAGTGGTACAGCCACACAGCAGTGCTTCAAGACAGTGGTACAGCCACACAGCAGTGCTTCAAGACAGTGGTACAGCCACACAGCAGTGCTTCAAGACAGTGGTACAGCCACACAGCAGTGCTTCAAGACAGTGGTACAGCCACACAGCAGTGCTTCAAGACAGTGGTACAGCCACACAGCAGTGCTTCAAGACAGTGGTACAGCCACACAGCAGTGCTTCAAGACAGTGGTACAGCCACACAACAGTACTTCAAGACAGTGGTACAGCCACACAGCAGTGCTTCAAGACAGTGGTACAGCCACACAGCAGTGCTTCAAGACAGTGGTACAGTCACACAGCAGTGCTTCAAGACAGTGGTACAATCACAAAACAGTGCTTCAAGACAGTGGTACAGCCACACAGCAGTGCTTCAAGACAGTGGTACAGTCACAAAACAGTGCTTCAAGACAGTGGTACAGTCACACAGCAGTGCTTCAAGACAGTGGTACAGCCACACAGCAGTGCTTCAAGACAGTGGTACAGCCACACAGCAGTGCTTCAAGACAGTGGTACAGCCACACAGCAGTGCTTCAAGACAGTGGTACAGTCACACAGCAGTGCTTTAGGACAGTGATACAGTCACAGCAGTGCTTCAGGAGAGTGGTACAGCTACACAGCAGTGCTTGAAGACTGGTACAGTCACACAGCAGTGCTTCAGGAGAGTGGTACAGCCATACAACAGTGCTTCAGGAGAGTGGTACAGCCACAGCAGTGCTTCAGGACAGCGGTACAGCCACACAGCAGTGCTTCAAGAGAGTGGTACAGCCACATAGCAATGCTTCAGGACAATAGTACAGTCACAGCAGTGGTACAGCCACATCAGTGGTACCGACACAGCATTGGTACAGACACAGCAGCAATGGATAGAGGAACACACTGTATTTACCGTCTTAGTAAAGGTATGCATTGTAGTGCACTGATGAACAAGACATGCAGTTTGGTGCACCAGTGAACAAGACATGCAGTTTGGTGCACCAGTGAACAAGATATAACTTTTCTGTAAATATATCTAGTATGAAACATGCACCAGATTCACTGTGGTTTGCATGGAGTATACACACCAAGGCATATATCTCTTTGTGTATACACCAAGAGGTGCCTCTATGTATACCAACAGGTGCATATATACGTATATATATATTGAGTACTTGAATCCATTGTTTTGTTATTAAAGTATATTTAATTACATGCAGTGGTAAGTGTTTTAGTAGATTATAACTTATTGTGTTGCTGAAAGACCTTAGAGAGTGATTTAGTCTTAGGCTTTATTTGTTGTAGTGACACCTGGAAAGATGATATTTTGTCACCAATTTTCAGCAATTTTGATTTTCAAATTTAAGTCATGTTGAATGTATGTACATGATGTTCACTTAACTATTAAATGACATAATTGCTAGGTATCCCTGAAGGAATTGCTAGGTATCCCTGAAGGAATTACTGGGTATCCTAAGGGAAACCTTTAAGTGGTTGCCTGATTTTTTTTCTCTTCAGCTTTGCGATATTCTTTTGCTTACAACTCTAGAACCTTTGAACTCTTATCATAATAAGATTTTGAATGTTTGTGTACTATAACAAGAACCAGATTCTAGGAACAATTGGCTTGTGTAGGGGTCCAGTGACCGAAGTTATTGATCCCATTTCCAGCATCCTGGAATGGATCGGATAACTTCCGAAACTCTCGATGGTGTAGCTTCAAATGTTCGAAATGTGCCTTTTAATTTGATAATGATAGTGAAATTCACATGGGTAGGTTCAGATTTGACCAGTTTTTGTGGAAAATAGTGTGCAATTTTGGTTTTTGTTTAAGTGTCACGATAAAAAGGTATACATCTATCTATTCTGAGTTGCTTTAGTATTTAATGGCTGATGCATCTTATGACAATGTGGTCTGGTAGGTGAAACTCTCGCTTCACACGGGTCCGATTCCCAGCAAGGGTGGAAACATTGGGCGTGTTTCCTTACACCTGCTGTCCCTGTTCCCCCATCAGCAAAATGGGTACCTGGGTGTTAGTCGACTGATGTGGGTCGCATCCTGGGACAAAAATTGACCTAATTCGCCTGAAATGCTCAGCATAACAAGGGACTTTCTATATAGTAGTATGTTATTGATGTCAGCTATGGTCTGTATACCTTGTACGTGTACTTATAGAAATAATGTTATTATTATAGTACCTATTAGGTTTTATTTACGTGGGCAAATTTGTCATTGCAATCATTTTTAATATACTTGGAATCACACGAACATAGACACATGTATACATATTTTTTTATATTTTGCTAATTACAGTTTTATGACCACACTGCACTATTTGTTTATCCAGTGAGTTATGATGGTATTTTTTGCCCGTTTTCATGCCAGCATTGAGTGGAAGGTGGGAAGAGAGCCTTCTGCTTCTCTATCCTTGACTCGCACATCTAGATAATACACGATAGTCCTTAATCTAGTTAGAAATTGATAGTTATTTTCAGCAGATAACCTCTGCTGAAAATAACTATCTGCTGATAACCTCTCCAACCGTAGGTCATCTGACTAAGACCCGCGTCAGGAAACACTTATCCTGTTTCCTTACGAACGTATCAATATATGAGAGGGAGGCTAGTAGAACACTGCTCACATACTACCACACTTCCGCTCCCAAGGTGACTTTCAAACTGTTTTAAGTATGGATTGTTGAGCTGGAATTTTTAAAGAATGTCTTCCAAATCCTGTCTCCTGTTGCATGTAGTTACTCAGCAGTTGTAGTTCACCGTTGTTTGCCTTTCTACAGTGTTTACTATTCCTTTTCAAGAGTTCTTAGTTTAATATCTTCATTATGCACTGTGGGAGGTAGGCAGAAGATTACATAGGTACATAATGAGTCCAAGTTTCGATAGCTGAACAAGTTACAGTGGTAATGAACTATTTACAAGTTATTACCCGGAGTTTACCACTGTAACTTGTACCTGTGTAATCTTCTGCCTACCTCCCACAGGGTAGGTATTGCTTCTTGAAAGCAATACCTACCCTTAATCTCCAGGTGCTGTGTCACCTGCGTTTTTCCCAATAAATGTGAAATAATGAGTAAAAATTCTGCTGTCTATGCATTTTACATTCACCCCCGGGGGGGGGGGGTATGCTGGTGGAGATCACTTGATCCAAAAAATAAGAGATATCCTCCCATTTCTTGAATCGAGCCTAATTACTTCCCATTTTCCCAGGCGCTGCTTGACCCCTACAGGTTTAGCACTTCACCATACAGTGGGTTTTCTCACAACTACCGACAAGCTGTCGTTAAGGAAGGTAAACTGTAGTATCCTCGGCCACCACCTCTTTAGTCTTCCATTTCCATTTTATTTTACCATAAACATGTTAATAAGACAATACGCGGTTTATGTCATTTTATTCAGAAGACATTTCGCCCACCTCAAACTTATGACAATTGATAATAAATTAGAAACGTGTGCAACAATGGATATCTTGATTGTATCTAATTTATCAAGTTGTCGGTTCTCCGAACCATTTATCGACAATGATAAATTCCCTGGTGGGCGAAACATCTCAGTAAAATGCCATAAACCCTATATAGTCTTGTTAACATACTTGTTAGTACATTCTGACAATAATATAAACACCAGAAATATTTTCAGTTATAACTCACATGGAGACAGAAACTCTGGAGATTAATTGATCTGTATATTTCGACCTCCTCCTGGGATCCTCTTTAGCTGAAGAAGATCCCAGAAGGTGGTCGAAATATACAGATCAGTCAATCTCCTGAGTTAGTCTCCATGTGTGTTATAACTGAACATTGACAAGTGCTCATTATAATTTAGTTATCCACCAGAAATATGTGTATGTAATATAACTATTGTAATGCCGTACTGGTTAGCTGTTTCTTCACGTTATTCGGACTCGTTAGATTTTTAACATGTAGTCTTATTAGTGGTTCTTTCTCTGATGCCCTCATTCATATATATTTTAGCCATAATTATTCCATTGTTCAATGTTATATATTTATGTTCAGCAGTAAGTTCACTTCTATTTATTTGTCTAAATATTTTGGTTCAGTATTAGGTCTGTTTGGTCCATTACTGTATGTTTTGTCAAAGATAATTCGTCATATTACATTTGCTTCTGTCCAAGATAAAGTCTGTAATATTCTTGTAAGAGACTTATTAATTCCTCCAATAGAACCATGTTGTGTAATACATTTCCATACCGGCTTGACTGTGTTAATCTAGGTCAACTCTTACTGTGCCTAGAACGACGTGCCACTGTGTAAATTGATCATTGTTGGCAATGATAAATGTGCTCAAAAATATTGGGTTATATGTCCTTGTTTATTATACAAGTAGAGAAATGTACAGAGAACTTTCACGGCGCGCATAACGGAGATAAAACACCTCAATTACTGGGAGCGCTTCAGGTTCCTAAACCTGTATTCCCTGGAACGCAGGAGGGAGAGATACATGATTATATACACCTGGAAAATCCTAGAGGGACTAGTACCGAACTTGCACACGAAAATCACTCACTACGAAAGCAAAAGACTTGGCAGACGATGCACCATCCCCCCAATGAAAAGCAGGGGTGTCACTAGCACGTTAAGAGACCATACAATAAGTGTCAGGGGCCCGAGACTGTTCAACTGCCTCCCAGCACACATAAGGGGGATTACCAACAGACCCCTGGCAGTCTTCAAGCTGGCACTGGACAAGCACCTAAAGTCAGTTCCTGATCAGCCGGGCTGTGGCTCGTACGTTGGTTTGCGTGCAGCCAGCAGCAACAGCCTGGTTGATCAGGCTCTGATCCACCAGGAGGCCTGGTCACAGACCGGGCCGCGGGGGCGTTGACCCCCGGAACTCTCTCCAGGTCCAGGTATGTGGCATTATTTTAGAGATATACCAAATTATATAATTTCTATTAACTATGAAGAGCACTTCGTCCTTCAGAGATGCCAAGGAAGTGATACAGTGTGAATCACTGGTCAGCTCGTCACTGGGATATAGTTTAGACTTAACAGTTTAAGGCTGGAGAAATCGAAGAACTGGATAATGTACAGACGACTCTCATTCCCTATATCAGTTCACCAATTACACTCTCATAGTACTGCTTGTGTCTTCTTGTGGATGTTGTCTTGATGCTGTTGAAGGCTTCTGTATTGAGGAATTTGTGCTTCACTCTCCCTTCCTCAGGTCAGGCCTGATTACCCCCCCCCCCCCACTGTGCGTCCCTCATGAATATAGTGCATACCTATGAATATATATATATATATATATATATATATATATATATATATATATATATATATATATATATATATATATATATATATATATAATAGTGGAGTCTACTCCGATGACTTAATGGCCCAGTGGTGTGGGAAATATGACGGGGGGAAAATCTGTTTTATAGGTCCGTCAAATTGTGGTTAACTGCATGAACAAGGACACTGTATCATAGAAGAAACATTTAGGTCCAGCAGTGAACAAGGTCTTGCAGTGAACGATGTCCAGCAGTGAACAGGGTCCAGCGGTGAACAAGGTCCAGTGGTGAATAAGGTCCAGTGGTGAATAAGGTCCTCAAGGGAGGCTCTTTGATGCTAAAGAATTGGACCTGCCCTCAAATTCCTTAAATCGAGACTGACTGTCTTCCAATTCCGTCACGAATGTAATAACGAAGTTAACCAGGTCCTGCAGTGAACAAGGTCTCAGAACTAAAACTCTTATAATAATGCAGTGTTCACGTCTCTTTAACCACAATACACAATAGTGTTTGCAGGTAGCATGACATGAGGACGCTGCTGCAGACATGCAAGGCTTTCACGGCAGCACTGCGTCGCCACCACCATCCAGCAAGGTGCCAAGTCTGCTGCCTAACTAAAGTGTCACTCAAAATTCGCTTCCAGCAGTCGAAGCCGCTGACTCACCCACATCATGGCTCACCCACGTCCTGACTCACCCACATCCTGACTCACCAACGTCCTGACTCACCCACATCCTGACTCACCAACGTCCTGACTCACCCACATCCTGACTCACCCACATCCTGACTCACCCACATCCTGACTCATCAACGTCCTGACTCACCCACATCCTGGCTCACCCACGTCCTGACTCACCCACGTCCTGACTCACCCACATCCTGACTCACCAACGTCCTGACTCACCCACATCCTGACTCACCAACGTCCTGACTCACCCACATCCTGACTCACCCACATCCTGACTCACCAGCGTCCTGACTCACCTACATCCTGACTCACCAACGTCCTGACTCACCAACGTCCTGACTCATCCACGTCCTGACTCACCAACGTCCTGACTCACCAACGTCCTGACTCATCCACGTCTTCACTCACCCACATCCTGACTCACCCAAATCGTGACTCACATCCTGGCTCGCCCACCTTCAGCAGTCACTGGTGCTCACCCACCTTCGGCAGTCACTGGTGCTCACCCACCTTCAGCAGTCACTGGTGCTCACCCACCTTCAGCAGTCACTGGTGCTCACCCACCTTCAGCAGTCACTGGTGCTCACCCACCTTCAGCAGTCACTGGTGCTCACCCACCTTCAGCAGTCACTGGTGCTCACCCACCTTCAGCAGTCACTGGTGCTCACCAACCTTCAGCAGTCACTGGTGCTCTTAATCCCACTAACTGGAGCTGCTTTCCACATCCTCAGGTCAAAACCCGATTACTTCTAATCCCTATGGGTTTATCGCCTTTCCTTGAATATGGTAATCATTGCAGTAAACACTGGCTGTTTACCTTTAGTCGCTTATGGAGTTATTGCTCCCACAACCCGGTCCCTGATCAGGTCTCCTGGTGGCTAGCCTGATCGATGAAACTGTTAGTGCCCACCACTCGCAAGCTGACGTATACACCACAACCCGGCTGATCAGGAACTAATTTGAGGAATTAGCCGAGTTGGCTCTTGAAGACAGCTAGGGGGGAAGGGGTTGCTGGTAATCCCGCTTATGTACAGTAGGAGAGTGTTGAAGAGTCGTGGTCCCTTTACACTTATTGAATTATCAGTATACTCATCGCTTCCCTACTGTCTTAGTGGAGGTTTCCTGCACCGTGTGTGTCCCGTAGTTCGGTTGGTAGCGCACTCGGCTCATACATTGAGAGTTCGTGGTTCGATCCCCAGTACGGGTGAAAACATTGGGCGTATTACTTTACACCTGCTGTCCATGTTCACCTAGCAGCAAGTAGGTACCTAAGTGTTAGCCAACTCGTGTGGGTCGCATCCTGAGGATAAAATTAATCTAAGTTGGGGAAATGCTCTGCATAACCAGGGACTTTCTATATGGTATGTCATTGATGTCAGCTATGGTCTGTATAAGTTGTACCATATGGAAATAAAGTGTATTATTGTTATTTAAGCTGAGTGACTGGCACCAGTGAGAGCTCTTGATCCAAGGACTCGCAACTTCCTGTATCAAACCTGATCACCTCATTCCCCTAGGCTGATAAAGGGGCCTTTGATCCTAGGAGTTGGATGTATCCTCCCCTTCCTTGGATCAAAACTGGTTGCTACTCTCTCCACCCTCCCCCAGGAGCTGTATGGCTCCCATGAGGGTTTAGCGATTCTTAAATATGAATTCTAAAGTGAAGCGGTGCTGATCTCCCATATGGGTTTAGCACTTTTAGTATAAGCTGCACCGGACGTGAGTGCTCATGTGCGGGCGTGAGTGCTCATGTGCGGGCGTGAGTGCTCATGTGCGGGCGTGAGTGCTCATGTGCGGGCGTGTGTGCTCATGTGCGGGCGTGAGTGCTCATGTGCAGGCGTGAGTGCTCATGTGCGGGCGTGTGTGCTCATGTGCGGGCGTGAGTGCTCATGTGCAGGCGTGAGTGCTCATGTGCAGGCGTGAGTGCTCATGTGCGGGCGTGTGTGCTCATGTGCGGGCGTGTGTGCTCATGTGCGGGCGTGAGTGCTCATGTGCAGGCGTGAGTGCTCATGTGCAGGCGTGTGTGCTCATGTTCGGGCGTGAGTGCTCATGTTCGGGCGTGAGTGCTCATGTGCGGGCGTGAGTGCTCATGTGCAGGCGTGAGTGCGGTGCGCAGGTGTGGCTGGCCAGGGTGGCTCACCAGTAGTGCCGCAGCCGTCGCGGGGTGAGCTACTACGCTCCCTCACGCCCAAGATTCTCCCACTCCCCACGCACTTTTCACCCCCACAGCAGCACTTGCCGCTCCTCTGGCCGCACACACACACCTATAACACCAAAAGTGACAACTTACCCATGTTAACAGTCTATCAAGCTGTTTTGCGTGTTAATATAAGCAAGGAGGAGAAACAAAATACGCCCACAGGAACTGGGTCTGTGTTTCGTGCCGACATTTCACTGTTAATGGTTTGTTTTGGGGATGAAATTGTCGAGAAATAAGTATGGCCGACCATGAAGTGTTGGGAGGGGCGCGTCCGGCCACTGTTGCAGCAGGAAGCACCTTAACAAGTCTTGCAGGAAGGTTGCACAGATAGTCCACGTGGGTGGCTGTTGTCACGGGATAGTTACTGCTGATAGTCAGTGGCAGTAGTGCTGATAGTGGCAGTAGTGCTGATAGTGGCAGTAGTGCTGATAGTCAGTGGCAGTAGTGCTGATAGTCAGTGGCAGTAGTGCTGATAGTCAGTGGTGGTTGTAGCACTAATTTTTCCGTGAACGAAAGGTCGTGAGGTCGTTCAACAACAGTGGTTGCAACAGTAGTGCTTATAACTAGTGGTTGCAATAGTAGTGGTTGCAACAGTAGTGGTTGCAACAGTAGTGGTTGCAACAGTAGTGGTTGCAACAAAGCAGTTGGAGGAAGGAGCGGCCGTACCTCAACTATTATGTGCCTAATTTCCCATGAATGAGGAGGACGTAGGAGATAACAGCAGCTGGAACAGCAGTTGCAGCAGCAGCAGCAGTAGTGGTACAGAGTCATCATCATCAGCTCAATCTATGGATCCTGCCTGGCCACTCTCGCCCCGGGCCATGGCCGCCACCCTGGCTTTATTAATGGCCGTCCTCATCTTTCATCCTAGTAAGTATGAGAGATGTTCAAATCAGGAACCTAGAACAAATCTTTATTAAAACAGTTTCGTGTTTTATTGAAGACTTGTCCTGTCTACATGCCTTTCATTTATCTTTACTTCTTAATGTACTGTATGACCCTTGTGAGTTTAGCGCTTAGTTTTGATAATAATGGTAATGCCTTTTAACCTAGGGATATTTACCTCCATCATGAAGGATAATTAGACCTGTTTCTGGCGCCACTTAGCCCACTTAGGTTTCTTGACGATGGCGAGGGGCTCTTGATCTAGGGAATTGGATCTGTGCTCCAGTTCCCTGAATTAAGCCTGAATATCTTACACCCCCCCCCAACGTACCCTGTATAATCCTACGGGTTTAGCTCTCCTTGATTATGATAATTGGCGCCACTTAAGAGACAAGAGAATTAATTTTTATTTCCCGAGTCTCTTGTTTATATATATATATATATATATATATATATATATATATATATATATATATATATATTATATATATATATTATATATATATATATATATATATAATATATATATATATATATATATATATATATATATATATATATATATATATATATACTTTCCTATGTCTTTTCTAAATCTAAATTTATCCAACTTAAATCCATAGTTCCTTGATAATGTGAGTAGTCACGAAAGCGCTTGGAATTTCTCTATTCTTTCAGAGTGGTTGTTTTGCATATTTTGAAATCACCTGTTTACTGTGATCTTATTGCATATATATATATATATATATATATATATATATATATATATATATATATATATATATATATATATATATATATATATATATATGTATATATATATATATATATATATATATATATATATATATATATATATATATATATATATATATAATATATATATATATATATATATATATAAGCTTCGATATTAACGAAGCTTTTAATATATCTTAAAACAGGAATAGTGTATGATGGAAGATGGCTAATATAATTTACTTTTAAAGCAGGGGATAAGTCATTACCATTAAATTACCGCCCAGTAAGCCTAATCTCAATTGTAGGTAAAGTACTAGTCGATTATAAGTGATACTATAAGTGCCATCTTGATAAGCATAATTTATGATACAGTTATTACCTGTGTCGTGTTCTTAGTCTACGTGGGTGGTTGTTAGCCACGGGATAATCAATGGTTTTAGTGGTAGTATTGAGTGGCTAGAGTAGTGAGGAAGGTGTTGGCCACTGCTTCAACCTAGACAGCAACAGTGCTTGTATTATCTCTCATACACGCTACATTCTGGAAACATCTTGTATCGTGTCTCCCACACACTACCTAGTAAGTATCTCCTTGTATCGTGTCTCCCACACGCTACCTGGTATCTCCTTGCATCATGTCTCCCACACGCTCCAAAGCCTCGCCCTTCCTCATTTTCCCTGTCATTATGTAAGCAGCACCTCACGCCACGTAACACTTTCACCACACGAAATTGTTTCTTTCCCACTCGCAGTTGACATATTGTTCTAATACGCAGTATACTCTATAAATTCATGCAAGCAAACATACAGTACATATGCAGCTCTGCAAGTAGGGGCCCCTCCTGTTTGTCTTTCCTAGGACGGAATCAGATTGATTTACATTTCCAAGGCACTGTATAAATCCGGCGGATTTAGTGCTAATAATAATAAACTCCAGACCTCAGCGCGATCAATTCTTGTTCTGGACTCGTCTAGGGTTAGTACTGCCAGTAAACATGTTTAACATAGAGGACTCTGATTGAATTATTGCCATGTTTTTAAAAGGGGAAAGCCTTGATTCTAGTTAGTGACTTGATGCGAGGCATTGGAACGCCCTCCCCTTCCTCTGATTATGTCTGGTTACCTCCCATTTCAAAGGTGGGTGGGGCGTTTCCCCGTGAATATAATTGGTTTTAATAATGGTATACAATAGCGAAAAGTATTGCATCACTTAGGCATCTTTATTCTGAAATATTTCGCCCACACAGTAGGCTTCTTCAGTCGAATACAGAGGCAGCAGCAGAAACAGTAGATGTAAAGACGATGTGATCAGTCCATAACCCTCGAACTGCGCTGTTTGACCCTCGTAGGTTTAGCGCTTCTTTATTATAATAATCACCCTCGAAGTCGTAGTTTTGAGGTGGCCAGTCTCTCAGCCTGGAGAAGAGCTCTGCTCCAGTCTGGAGCAACAAAATCTATGATGGCGTGCGCTGCCTCGCCGCCTGCGTGACCTCAATATTTATAGCATGCAGCAACATCGTGATATCTAAAATTTACACATCTATACCTTAATTAAACAAACTCGAGAAAGTCCAGAGATTGGTGTCCAAACCAATCCTTCAGATAAAAATGCTGGACTGCGAGCTTGCAAGAAGTGAACATTGCAACAGAAGAGAAACGAAGCCTGAAGGGGGCACATGTAGACCTGGAGAATATACAGAGCTTTTACTTTACGTATAAGTACAGTCAAGCACCAAAGTTACTGGGAACGGTTAAGTCCCTTGACCTGTACTCCTTGGAATGCAGGCGATAAAGATACATAATATACACTTGGAAAATCTAAGAGGGTCTAGTCCTAGATCTGCAAACGGAAATCACTCCCTACGAAAGCAAAAGACTTGGCAGTCGGTGCAGCATCCTCTCCAGTGAAAAGCAGGGGGGCCATGAGTACGCTAAGAGACAACAGTAAGTGTCTTGGGGCCCCAAGACTGTTCAACTGCCTCCCAGCATACATAAGGCGGATTACCAGTAAACCCTTTGGATGTCTTCAAGGAGAAGCTGGACAGGCACCTAAAGTTCGTTCCCGACCAACCGGGCTGTGGTTTGTACGTCGATTTGCGTGCGGCCAGCAGTCGTAGCCTGGTTGATGAGGTCCTGATCCACCGCGAGGCCTGGTCATGGACCGGGCCGCGGAGGCGCTGACCCCCCGAAACACCCTCCAGGTAACATACAGGGCACTCGAAATTTTAAAGATGGATAATACATGAACAAAAGAAGCACTATACCCGTATGGGCCATACATCAACAGGATTGATAAATATATGGTTGGGGGTGGGACCAGGACGAGAGAGCGTAGTTTAAAAATTAAATCCCGCATTACTCACCTGCAGAGCCTTTTTCCCTGGCTCCACCCGCCACGCTTCATGTACTGCATGAGTTGGTCCCAAAGATGAGGAGGTACTTGTGCCTCCTCCCATGGAAGACTTAGGTCTCAGACACTCCCTAAAGTGGGAGCCAAGGCCGGGCCACCGCTTGGAAAAGGCTCGGGCCGGGAGAATACCGGCTAATCTTTAATAATAATAATAATAATCTGCTGCATAACTCGCTGGTGAGATATGCCGCTCTCCTTGGCAGGGAGAGATGTATGGTAGTTTCCGCTTAGCAGTAAAATTAGGTATCTGTGTTAGCCAACTTTTGTGGGTGGCATCCAGGGAAGAAATGTATGGGAAAACACTCCATTCCTGCTGGAATTTTATATGCTATGTAAGAAACTTTGCCTTGCTGGAAGTATTGGTGCTATGTAAGAGGTATTAATGTACCTAATTATGTTAATTAAAAATAAAATAAAATTTCCTTCCCTCCCCCTTCAACCCTTTTCTCCCACATTTTCCTCTTCCTTCCCCCTCCATCACCCCCCCTTTTCCTAACTTACCCCCCTCCTCCACCACCCATAATTCACCATCTCCCCCCCCCCTTCAACAGTCACGCTGTCATGTCTTCCCTAACCTTCCCCCCTTCTCCCTCAGTGTTGGCTCCAGGTGGGGTAAACACGTTGGTCTCTCATATTAAGAACTCGGGCCATTGCTGCGACTAGTAGTAATAGCCTAGCCCAAGTAGATCATTGTTCCACCAAGAGGCTTAAGCGGTCTGGGACCAGCTGCAGGGGCGTTTACCCGTGAAAACATCGTTCAGGTATCGTTCAAGTGTGTAGTTCCAGCGGGTCGCCAGTATACTCTGTTCTAACTTTGTTTAGCATGGCTCTTAATATGGTTTAAATATCGCTTCAGAGCCCAGCCTCATCTAATACCTAGAGTATACCTGGAGAGGGTTTCGGGGGTCAACGCCCCCGCGGCCCAGTCTGTGACCAGGTCGCAGGGCTGATTGCACCCCACCCTCCCCAGGATTCAACCCATTATTGTCGACTACACTTAGGCACCTATTGACTGCTAGGTGAATGTGAGCAGGTGTAGAGAGATGTCCATACTTATCCTGCTCATAATTGAATCCGGATATTTTCAGTTGCGAGATGAGCGCTGTACCACTGGGCTACAGGTCACAAGTGGTGGAGAGAATGGAGGTATCTTATATCCTTGGTCACATTGACAGCCATTGAGCCGTGTTATAAATTAAATGAATAAATGACTATGGTAATATGAAGATTGGCCCAGTACTTCATATATGCCTGTACATAGTTTGTGTGTGGTGTGTACATGTGTGTGTGTGTGGGGGGGGGGGGTAGTTTGGCTGAATAAGACTAAGTGAAAATCTGTTTATGCAGCCGCATCCGCCGCCGTAATAGTCATAGTAGCAGCAGTCTGTGAAAGTTAGGTTCTTAAATTCGTATTGTGATTAATAAACAAGTCACAGGTATACTCCAGGTTATGGCTGAACACGTGATCCTGATGAAAATAAATGGTATAAAATACCGACACTATGGAAACATAAACACATATGCAGTTTAATGTGATCCTTTATTGACACCGTTTCGCCCACACGGTGGGCTTTTTCAGGTAGATCTGTTAGTGACTTGAAAAAGCCCACTGTGTGGGCGAAACGTTGTCAATAAAGGATCACATTAAACTGCATGTGTTAGTTTCCACGTTGTGATCCTGTTTCATGCTCCTCCCTCGCTCACTGCATACCACAGCTTCTCCCTTATTCCATCCTTCCCACTGTGTCTCCCTCTTGTTTCTAATTTAGGTTTTTGTACATACCATACAGATATTTTTTACAGTAATCTTGAGGCCACGAGGGTGTTATAAACTTTAAAATCCCGGGTAGCTTTGATAATAGGTTGGACAAATATAAGAGTAGAAAGGTTGGATTGGAGACGGCCCTGCTTACCATTGGCCAGTAAACCTATTGTTGAAGGATCAGACACATGTACAACATCTGGGTATCTTTATTTGTAGACGTTTCGTCATCCAGTAGCTTTATCAGTACAAGGACATAATGTGAAGAATTACATAAAACAGATGAGGTAATCAGTCCCTCAGCCTTGGAGTTGAAGAGCGCCGTAGTCTTGCAGGAACTGATCTGAGGAATTGGATTTGTTCTCTCTTTTTTTTTGGATTGAGCCCTTTTCTCTGAATAAATATATAAACCGTCTAGGGCTCAACTAGCCAAACTTCATGTTTTTATTTTTTGTTAATTATTGTGGGAAATTACCTGCAGGAGGTTTACAAGGTATTGAATTATTACATGCAAGTAATTTGAGTGAGGTAAGTGGGATTTAGTAGGTCGCTAAACTGTCACTCCCTCGATGCCCACTCCCACAAAAAAAGCTAGACCTAACATTAAATTAATAATTACAACATTAAAACCAGCTACTCTGGTAAATTAAAGTGGTGTGGACTGTATATGATTAGGCTTGCTGGGTACACAGAATATAATTATTGTACATAAAATAGTGTTATTAGAAAGAAAATTCGTATTACCACCATTCGTATTACCATTCATATTACCACCATTTAAATACTGGATCATAAGTATTATTTTGGAAACACACCCTAATGCTACCACTACAGATAGAATTTACGATGGCCATTGCAAAACTACTGTACATTATGAGTAAGCATCACTTAACTAAGGTGTACTCCTGAGAGAATTGGTGTCATCTATTTTTCCATCCTTGTTGCCAAATTGTAAGGGTTTTCCACACTATCCCAATTCTTAGCAGGAAAGTGTCAGCACTTTCTAAATTACGGACTGAGGCTGATAACACCAATTGACCTTTGAGAATGCCTGATTACGTTGTACCATTCAGTCCAGTGTTCACACATTAAATTCATTATGGTGTCCATCTCTGCTGCATCACTCCCCCGGCTGTTCCACACACCCCTTCACTTAAAATTTCTCGAAGGGTCCAAATAGCATCACATTTTGGTACGCAATTATTATATTATTCATTTATATGTTCTACATTTAGGAAAATTATGTAAACATTTTCCACAATTATAATTGGAAAATAAGCTTAAAAACGAACATGGTTTGCAAATTCAAATATAAAGATTATTGTATTCATGGATTCCCCTTTAGGGTAGATTCCTTGATGCCAATAACAAGCTCGTGACCAAAAAACAGTGAATCTGGACTTCCGTCCCTTAGATCGAACCAGAATGCCTCCCATTTCCCCAGGCACTATATGACACCAACACTTACTAATGATGCTTTATATTTATGATAATACTGACAGTTATAATGTTATTGGTTCTTAACATTGATGATAATGTATCCCACTACCCAGGTCTGGTGAATTTCCTAGTGAGCAGTGAAGATACTTCCATCAATTTAAAGTATGTTCAGAACTTCTATCTTTGGACCAGGTGAGACACCTACAATCATCGTTAAATGTTTTAGTTTAGGATTTATTAAGTTGAAAAAGTTGTAGATTATTGTACAGATATAAATGTGAATGTTGCAACAAGCAGAAGGCTGGAGGCAGTGGAGATATTATGTCTGAGGGCAGTGTGTGGTGTGAATATCATGCAGAGAATCCGTAGTTTGGAAATTAGGAGGAGGTGCAGGATTACCAAAACTGTTATCCAGAGGGCTAAGGAGGGGTGGTTAAAGTGGTACAAAATAGAATGACTTCGAGAGTGCATAAATCTGTAGTGGAGGGAATGCGGGGTAGGGGTCGGCCTAGGAAAGGTTGGAGGGAGGAGGTAAAGGAGGTTTTGTGTGCAAGGGGCTTTGACTTCCAGCAATCATGTGTGAGCACATTAGGAGCAAATGGTTTTTAGGACTTGACATGCTGTTGGAGTGTGAGCAAAATAACATTTATGAAGGGATTCAGGGAAACCAGCAGGCCGGACTTGAGTCCTGGAGATGGGAAGCACAGTGTATGCACTCTGACGGAGGGGTAGTAATGTTGCAGTTTTATAACTGTAGTGTAAGCATGCCTCTGGCAAGACAGTGATGGAGTAAATGAAAGTTTTTTTTTTTCGGGCCACCCTGCTTTGGTGGGAGAAGGCCAATGTGTTAATAAAAAAAATAATATGAATGTGAACAATACTTAACGACACATTACAATAGCCAATGGCTTTGGAAGTTTAATAAGGACCAATTTATGGGTGATACATGGAGTATACCTGGAGAGAATTTCTGGGGTCAACGCCCCACAGCCCGGTCTGTGACCAGGCATCACGGTGGATCAGGGCCTGATCATCGAGGCTGTTACTGTTGGCTGCACTCAAACAGACGTACGAATTACAGCCCGGCTAGTCAGGTACTGATTTTAGGTGCCTGTCTGGCGCCATCTTGAAAACAGCTATGGGTCTATTGGTAATCCCCCTTATGTATGCTGGGAAGCAGTTGAATAGTCTTGGGCCCGTGACACTTATTGTATTGTCTCTTAGCGTAGTCGTGGCACCCCTTCTTTTCATTGGGGGGGATGTTGCATCTGCCAAGTCTTTTGCTTTCATAGGGAGTGAGTTTCGTGTGTAAATTTGGGACTAGTTCCACAAGGATTTTCAAAGTGTATATTATCATATATCTTTATCACCTGCATTTCAGGGAATACAAATCAAGAGACTTTAACCATTCCCAGTAATTCAGGTGTTTTATAGTACTTATTCATACCATGAAATTTCTCCCTATATTCTCCAGGTTTCCAATTTTGCCTGCCTGGAAAGGAGCCGTTATCGTACAGCAATATTCCAGCCTAGAGAGAACAAGTGATTTGAAGAGAATTATCATTGGCTTGGCATCCCTAGTTCTGAATGTTTTCATTATCCATCCTGTCATTGTCCTTGCAGATATGATAGATACATTGTTATGATCTTTGAAAGTGAGATTCTCTGACTTTACCACTCCCAGGTCCTTCACATTAGTTTTTTGCTTGATTGTGTGATTTGAATTTGTTTTATACACCAATACAGTTTTTATTTTCTTGAGTTTTCCATTGCAAATAATTGAAATTTGTCTTCTTTGAACTTCATATTGTTTTCTGACACTTAAAGACTTGGTTAATGTCTACTTGGAGATCTGCAGTGTCCACAATGGATGACAATGTCATGCAAATTCTGGTATCGTCAGCAAAGGAGGACACGGTGCAGTGGCTTACACCTCTGTCTGTGCCAGATATGAGCATGAGGAAAAGGATGGGAGTGAGTACTGTACCATGTGAAACAAAGCTTTTCACCGTAACCGCCTCTGACTATTCTGTCTACTATTACTGTGTTCTATTTATTAGGAAGTTATAGATTCATCTACCAACTTTTCCTGTTATTCTTTTATCATGCATTTTGTGTGCTATTATGCAATGATAAAACTTGTCGAAGGCTTTCGCAAAGTCTCCATCTGCATTTTGATTGTTCTCCAGTGCATACAAGATCATGTAATAGTGATTCAGTAACTGTGAGAGGCAGGAATGACCTGTTCTAAACCTATGTTGTCCTGGGTTGTGCAACTGATGGGTATCCAGATGGTTGGCGATCTTGCTTCTTAGAACCCTTTCCAAGATTTTTATAATGTGGGATGTTAGTGCAACTGGTCTGTAATTCTTTGCAGTTGCTTTACAGCCACCCTTGTGGAGTGGAGGCTATATCTGTTGTTTTTAGTGACTGTAGGATGATCCCTGTGTTTATGCTCCTCCGTAGAATAGTCAATGCACGTGAAAGGGATTTCTTGCTGTTTTTGGTGAATGGGGAGTTCCATGAGTCTGGGCCTGGGGTGGAGTACATTGGGGTGTCGGTTATTGCTTTGTCAAAGTTCTGCAGTGTTAGGATTATATTGGAAATTCTTTAGTTGGCCAAATTTTGAGTCTCGGTCAAAAAAAAAAATTTAATTGTCAACCCTTTAGCCTGATTAATGGCTCACTAAAGGCTGATAATGGGACAGTATCTCACTCATTTCTCTGCTGCCATCTGTGTAAGTCCCATCTCATTCATTACATTTTACTCAATCTTCCTCCTAATGACTGTTGTTGAAGCCTATTATATCACCTCTTTAATACTGTAGCAAAGATTATAATGCATTATTATATTCCCATAAAAGAGCACTAAACCAGTATGGGCCATTGTGTTGCATTGTAGTAGACTGAATTTTTCACTTTCACCTTACATGCTAGAAAATTACTAAGTGTTAATGTGTAACTTTAGATCATTGCATAAATAGTTTTAAGGTATAATTTTTCATTACCACAACAGACGTCAGAAAAGTGAACCTCAAGAGCTGAAAGTGGGTTCACATGCACTACTGGCAGCTACCCACTTCTACCCACGCAAAACCTATGTAATCATCCATGGCTTCCTTGGTTCTGGTACTGATGGCTGGATCCTCTCAATGAAGGATGGTAAGTAGCAATGGGACAGTACCAATTTTTTTTTTTTTTTGCCAGTACTGATGCTCAATTTTAGGCCAGTGCCATTAAAATTACGTCCCTGATGGTAAGTAATGTTGATTGTGGAAGAAGGGCATTAGAGAACTTGCTGCAGTAATGGGCACTTTATACCAATAATGTTATTTCCTGGAAAGTAGACACGTTAGGTTATCATTATATCTTAACTCATGGAAATAAATGGTATTTTATACCGACACAGTGGAAAAATAAACACAGACACAGTATAATGTGTTCCTTTATTGACAACATTTTGCCCACACTGGATTTTATCAAGTCACAAACAGATCTGTCTGTAACTTGATAAAGTCCACTGTATGGGCAAAATGTTGTCAATAAAGGATCACATTACCTGGAGTTTACCTGGAGAGAGTTCTGGGGGTCAACGCCCCCGTGGCCCGGTCTGTGACCAGGCCTCGTGATGGATCAGAGCCTGATCAACCAGGCTGTTACTGCTGGCTGCACACAATCCAACATACAAGCCACAGCCCAGCTGGTCAGATACTGACTTTAGATGCTTGTCCAGTGCCTGCTTGAAGACAGCCAGGGGTCTATTGGTAATCCCTCTTATGTATGCTGGGAGGCAGTTGAACAGTCTCGGGCCCCTGACACTTATTGTATTGTCTCTTAACGTGCTTGAGTCACCCCTGCTTTTCATTGGGGGATGTTGCATCATCTGCAGAGTCTTTTGCTTTCATTGTGAGTGATTTTCGTGTGCAAGTTCGGTACTAGTCCCTCTAGGATTTTCCAGGTGTATATAATCGTGTATCTCTCCTGCCTGCATTCCAGGGAGTACAGGTTCAGGAACTTCAAGCGCTCCCAGTAATTGAGGTGTTTTATCTCAGGTATGCATGCCATGAAGGTTCTCTGTACATTTTCTAGGTCAGCAATTTCACCTGCCTTGAAAGGTGCTGTTAGTGTGCAGCAATATTCCAGCCTAGATAGAACAAGCGACCTGAAGAGTGTCATCATGGGCTTGGCATCCCTAGTTTTGAAGGTTCTCATTATCCATCCTGTCATTTTTCTAGCAGATGCGATTGATACAATGTTATGGTCTTTGAAGGTGAGATTCTCCAACATGATCACTCCCAGGTCTTTGACGTTGGTTTTTCGCTCTATTTTGTGGCCAGAATTTGTTCTGTACTCTGATGAAGTTTTAATTTCCTCATGTTTGCCATATTGGAGTAATTAAAATTTCTCGTCATTGAACTTCATGTTGTTTTCTGCAGTCCATTGAAAGATTTGGTTGATGTCCGCCTGGAGCCTTGCAGTGTCTGCATTGGAAGACACTGTCATGCAGATTCGAGTGTCATCTGCAAAGGAAGACACGGTGCTATGGCTGACATCCTTGTCTATGTCAGATATGAGGATGAGAAACAAGATGGGAGCGAGTACTGTGCCTTGTATTCTGTTTGTGAGGAAATTATAGATCCATCTACCAACTTTTCCTGTTATTCCTTTAGCACGCATTTTGTGCGCTATTATGCCATGGTCACACTTGTCGAAGGCTTTTGTAAAGTCTGTATATATTACATCTGCATTATGTGTTTATTTTTCCATATCTTAACTCATAGGGGTCATTTAGCACCTGAGGAATAGGTAATCAGGTTTGATCCAAAGAATGGGAGGGTAGCACCAGTTTTTTGGATCAAGAGCCCTTCAGCATCAAGATATCCTTGTTTGAAAGGACAGCAAGTTAGAACCTTTTTTTTAGAGCTTTTTCCATCTGTTGGCCTGGTGGCTAATACTCTCGCTTCACACGGCAAGGGCCTGGGTTCGATTCTCAGCCAGAGTAGAAACATGGGGCATGTTTCTTTACACCTGTTGTCTATGTTCCCCATCAGTAAAATGGGTACCTGGGTGTTAGTCGACTGGTGTGGGTCGCATCCTGGGACACCGACCTAAATTGCCTGAAATGCTGAGCATAACAAGGGGCTTCCTATATAGTAGTATGTCATTGATGTCAGCTAGGCCTGTATACCTTGTACATGTACTTGTAATAAATAAAGATATTTAAAGACTTGGAGCTTTGTTTTTTGTATGTCTTTATACAAGCATTTGGTAACTGGTGTCTATCTGCACATTTCTGTATTCTCTTCTTTATTTTTAATTTAAAGCTCAGCTTTAGACAAGCATTCATTATTTTTAACTTAACAAGTTTTTACATCTTGTATCTTTTTTTTTTCCAAAAAGGTCTTTAATTTTGTGTCCCGTAGCTTGATTGCTAGCACACTCGGTTCACACACTGAAGTCCGCAGTTCAAATCTCCTCTGGTATGACTGGAAAACATTAAGGATGTGTTTCCAAAAGACACCTGCTGTCCCTGTTCACCCATCAATCTAAAATGGGTACCTGGGTGTTGGTCGGCTGGTGTGGGTCGCATCCTGGGACAAAACTGACCTAATTTGCCCGAAATGCTCAGCATAACAAGGGGGCTTTCTGTATAGTAGTATGTCATTGATGTCAGCTAGGCCTGTATACCTTGTACATGTATTTGTAGAAATAAAGATTATTATTATTTTCTTGATATTCTTTTTATAGTTGATACGGCTAAAAGGTATTCGTTCATATAAAATTTCCTAGGTCGGCCTAGGAAAGGTTGGAGGGAGGAGGTAAAGGAGGTTTTGTGTGCGAGGGGCTTGGCCTTCCAGCAGGCATGCGCAAGCGTATTTGATTGGAGTGAATGGAGACAAATGGTTTTTAATACTTGATGTGCTGTTAGAGTGTGAACAAAGTAACATTTATGAAGGGATTCAGGGAAACCGGCAGGCTGGACTTGTCCTGGAGATGAGAAGTACAGTGCCTGCACTCTGAAGGAGGGGTGTTAATGTTGCAGTTTAAAAACTGTAGTGTAAAGCACCCTTCTGGCAAGACAGTGATGGAGTGAATGATGGTGAAAGTTTTTCTTTTTCGGGCCACCCTGCCTTGGTGGGAATCGGCCAGTGTGTTAATAAAAAATAATAAAAAATTTACTAAGTGTATGTACCCCACAGCTCTGCTGAGACGCGAGGACTGTAATGTGATTAGTGTCAACTGGTCATCGGGGTCGATGACTATTGGATACTATGTGATACAAGGGCGGGTGTCAGGAGTTGGCGAGGACATAAGCAAGCTCCTTATATTTCTCCAGGATGTAACAGGCTTGACTCCAGACCTTGTTCACCTCATTGGACATTCCCTTGGAGCTCATGCAGCAGGATTTACTGGAAAGATGATGAATGGTACTCTGTCAAGAATTACAGGTAAGATTTTTTTTTTTTAGATTTGGTGTAGAGGCTCAAATTTATTGGGAAATAACAAAACACACCCGAGTGAATATAACACTTAAAATAGCATTGCAACCCAAATAATTGAGCTACCATTGGCACTTTTTTTGATGTTGCAGCAATCAAGAATGATTCCATTTCCAGATTAATGTATACATGCATAATTGCAGCAAATCTCAAATATTTTTTTAAAATGCTACATAACTCAATTACACGATTAGTGGCCTCCTGATGAGTAATTTATGCATTAATTTGTGTAGAACCTCGGTTAAATTAACAGGCAGGGAGAGATTCAGGCTCCAAGCACAAGCTGCTGCTGATTTATGTAGCAGTAAACAAGTATAAAGTTGTTAGTAGATTTGTGGTCACCTCCTTTGGGTGGTACAGTATACCATAGGCAGGATTAGTTTTTATTATTGTACTCGGGAAGTGCTAAACTTGTTTTACACGTAGGGGGAAGTGCTAAACCCATAGGAGTCACACTGTTGGAGAAATAAGAGATAATTATGTTTGATTGAAGGAAGAGAAGGGTAATACCAGTTCATTATGTCAAAACAAAAACTTCTGTATTAAGGCACTGCTTGTGAAGAGAATTTTTTATAATTTGTTCTTAAAAAATTAACCCCAGGTATACTCCAGAAGTGTGTATGGTCATTTACTGTAATTAATTGATCTTAGAATATTACCTTGTACATACTGAACATCCTGTAAAGTTAGATAATTTTCAGCCGTCTACAACACCTAAAAGTGCCGTAGTTAGTTGAGTGTAGCTAATTGTACTCTGGTACCTAAAATAATTTGATAATCTTTCTTTACCTAAAATAATTTGATAATCTTTCTGGATAAGTATATTTCCTCTCCATTATTATTATTCGCTAAAAAAGCTCTAAACCTGTATTGGTCACACAACACTTCTCCACCCATAAAAGTGTGGAAAGGGAATGATGATTTAGGATTCTTCATTTCAACATTATACAATGTTTGTACACAGATGGGTGACATTTAGGCATGCATGCAGAAAGCATAAGCCTTGTGTATATACATATATATATATTATATTATTTATATATATATATATAATATATATATATATATATATATATATAGTATTGTAACAAACAAGTATATATATATGTATAGAAAGCGGTTTAGTTTTAATGGTAATACATATTGTAGAAAAAGGGTAACTATAGTATAGCACGATATATGTGGCAGAAATGACAGTAGTTTTGGATTATGTACTTGGTAATAAAACATGTCTAGATAGAACTTCAGGTTTTACATGTTTATAGAGGGTCCAGATATATCTAGATCACTTTCTGTTTAGCTACTACTCAGGAGTGAACAAAGGTAGATGGTGATACAAGGAGAATAGAAAGCACAGGGAAGAAGGGTGTAACTGTTGTATAAACTAAAGAAGGAGCATTGTTTTAACTATCACACCGCTTTGGGATAGCGGTGGCTTAATGAGAAGCATAGGTAATGGGGTAAGAGTATGAGTAGGTTTAATAAAAATGTAGGTGTTTAGTAGTGTTCATAGAAAAAGAGTATGTGTTACAGGAAAGTGGTGCAGGAGGGAAGAAGGAGTGTTGGTGAATGATGATGTAAAAGAGTGAGTAGATAAGGATGAAAACATGTTTGATATGAGGCAAGTTTACAATATAGAAGTGATGCAATGAAGGGAAGGTAATGGGAAAAGAGAAGAAGTGTAAGAGAGTGGTGAAGCAATGTTAAAAAGAGCAAATGAGGAGAGTTGGGTAATGTATCAAAAATTTTGTGGGAAAATAAGAAAAGGTTTTGAGAGTTGAGATTAAAAGTTAAGAAAGCTAGGAACAATGGATTTGTCGTTAAAAATAGGAGAGGAGAGTTATTAAATGGAGAGTTAGAGGTATTGGGAAGATGGAAGGAATATTTTGAGGAATTGTTAAATGTTGATGAAGATAGGGAAGCTGTGATTTCGTGTATAGGGCAAGGAGGAATAACATCTTGTAGGAGTGAGGAAGAGCCAGTTGTGAGTGTGGGGGAAGTTCGTGAGGCAGTAGGTAAAATGAAAGGGGGTAAGGCAGCCGGGATTGATGGGATAAAGATAGAAATGTTAAAAGCAGGTGGGGATATAGTTTTGGAGTGGTTGGTGCAATTATTTAATAAATGTATGGAAGAGGGTAAGGTACCTAGGGATTGGCAGAGAGCATGCATAGTTCCTTTGTATAAAGGCAAAGGGGATAAAAGAGAGTGCAAAAATTATAGGGGGATAAGTCTGTTGAGTGTACCTGGTAAAGTGTATGGTAGAGTTATAATTGAAAGAATTAAGAGTAAGACGGAGAATAGGATAGCAGATGAACAAGGAGGCTTTAGGAAAGGTAGGGGGTGTGTGGACCAGGTGTTTACAGTGAAACATATAAGTGAACAGTATTTAGATAAGGCTAAAGAGGTCTTTGTGGCATTTATGGATTTGGAAAAGGCGTATGACAGGGTGGATAGGGGGGCAATGTGGCAGATGTTGCAAGTGTATGGTGTAGGAGGTAGGTTACTGAAAGCAGTGAAGAGTTTTTACGAGGATAGTGAGGCTCAAGT